TAGAAATCACACAAATGGCCATGATCAAAAGTTTACATACCCTGGAATGCTTGTCCTTGGTACAGACACACAAGGTGATACACACAGGTTAAATTGGCAATTACATCTTCCACATCTGTGGGTTTTTAAATAGCAATTAGTGTCAGTGAGTTTGTTAGCTCTCCCATAGCAGGCTAGATACTGAATCATAGGGACCAGAAAAGAACTGTCAAAAGATCTGTGTAACAAGGACATGGAACTTTATAAAGATGGAAAAGGATATAAAAAGATATCCAAAGCCTTGAATATGTCAATCAGTACTGTTCAAACACTTATTAAGAAGTGAAAAATTCAGGGATCTCTTGATGCCAAGCCAAAATCAGGTAGACCAAGAAAGATTGCAGCCATAACTGACAGAAGAATTGGTGAGGATACAAAGAAAAATCCACAGGTAACATCAGGAGAAATACAGGCGGCTCTGGAAAAAGATGATGTAGTTGTTTTCAAAGAGTACAATACGACGATACTAATGAGATGCATGGCCTAGTTGCCAGAAAGAAGCCTTTACTGCACTAATGCCACAAAAATGCCTGGTTACAATATGCCCAACAAAACCTTGATACAGTTTCTGGCACAATGTAATGTGGAGTGATGAGACCAAACTAGAACTTTATAGTAACAACCATAAGCGCTATGTTTGGAGAGGGGTTTACAAGGCCTATAGCGACAAGAATACCGTCCCCACTGTGAATCATGGTGGTGGCTCACTGATGTTTTTTGGGGGATGGGAGTGAGCTCTAAAGGCATGGGGAATCTTGTGAAAATTGATCGCAAGATTAATGCAGCATGTTATCAGAAAATACTTGCAGACTATTTGCATGCTCCTGCACAAACGTTGCTCATGGAACACTCTTGGACTTTAACTGTAAGCACAAGGCAAAGTTGACCCTCCAGTGGTTACAGCAGAAAAAGGTGAAGGTTCTGGAGTTGCCATCACAGTCTACTGACCTTTATATCAACAAGCCACTCTGGGGAGATCTCAAATGTTTGGTTCATGCAAAACGACCAAAGACTTTGCATGACCTGAAGCATTTTGCTAAGACAAGTGGGCAACTATACCACCTACAAGAATTCAGGGCCTCATAGACAACTATTACAAAAGATTGCACGTTGTCATTGATGCTAAAGGGGGCAATACACAGCATAAGAACGAAGAGTATGCAGACTTTTTAACAGGGGTCATTTCATTTGTTTCCTCGTTGCCATGTTTTGTTTTATGATTGTGCCCTTCTACTATGAGCTACAGTGGAATATGAATCCCATAAAAAATAAAAGATGTGTTTTGCCTGCTCACTCATGTTTTCTTTAAAAATGGTACATAATATTACCAATTCTCCTAAGGGTATGCAAACTTTTGAGCACCTTTGTATACATGCACTGAGGAATTCCAGAAAATCCTAGTGATCTATAAAGGTGTAGAGGGGAGATTTGTTCTGTACTTGTCTGAGTGATATGTCCATTGTCCCCTGATGATTCCATGGAATCCTCCTTTTGTGGAACAGATCTGAGGAGGGGTGCAGCTTTCCCCCATTCTCCCTTTCCCCCTTCTTCTAGCCTTCCATTCTTTCCTTCCCCGTCAGCCCCCCCTTTTTTTGCCCCAGGGCCTAAACCCACAGATTACACCTAGAACACAGGGGACTCTGGTCTGTGACCTCTGTCTTAGAAATGGTAAACTTTATGTTGATATCCAATTCATACACTCTGTTCCAGACAAATGTTGAATGCAATCCTGTATCATACAGTTGCAAGAAAAAGTATGTGAACCCCTTGGGATTACGTGGAGTTTTGCATGAATTGGGCATAAAATGTGCTCTGAACGTCATCTAAGTTACAACAATAGAAGAATACAGTCTGCTGAACATAATACTACACAAACATTAGATGTTGCCATGGTTTAATTGCACATAACATGTAAACATTCACAGTGCAGGGAGGAAAAAGTATGTGAACCTTTGGACTTAATAACTGGTTGACCCTCCTTTGGCAGCAATAACCTCAACCAAACGTTTCCTGTAGTTGCAGATCAGACCTGCACAACGATCTGGAGTAATTTTGGACCACTCCTCTTCACAAAACTGTTTCAGTGCAGCAATATTCTTGGGATGTCTGGTGTGAATCGCTCTCTTAAGGTCATGCCACAGCATTTCAATCGGGTTGAGGTCAGGACTCTGACTGGGCCACTCCAGAAGGCGTATTCTGTGCTGTTGCAGCCATTATTTTGTTGAATTACTTGTATGCTTCGGGTCATTGTCCTGTTGAATCACCCATCCTCTGCGGAGCTTCAGTTGGCGGACAGATGGTCGTACGTTTTCCTGCAAAATGTCTTGATAAACTCTGGAATTCATTTTCCCATCAATGACAACAATCCGTCCAGGCCCTGAGGCAGCAAAGCAGCCCCAAACCATGATGTTCCCTCGCCATGTTTTACAGTGGGGATGAGGTTTTGATGTTGGTGTGCTGTGCCTTTTTTTCTCCACACATAGTGTTGTGCGTTCTTCCCAAACAACTCAATCTTGGTTTCATCTGTCCACAGTATATTTTGCCAGTAGTGCTGTGGAACATCCAGGTGCTCTTTTGCAAACTTCAAACGTGCTGCAATATTCTTTTTGGACAGCAATGGCTTCCTCCGTGGTGTCCTCCCATGTACTCCATTCTTGTTTAATGTTTTCCTTATTGTAGATGTGTCAACAAAAATGTTAGCATGTGCCAGAGATTTCTGTAGGTCTTTAGCTGACACTCTGGGATTCTTCTTTACCTCATGCAGCATTCTGTGCTGTGCTCTTGCAGTCATTTTTACAGGACGACCACGCCTAGGGAGAGTAGCAATAGTGCTAAACTTTCTCCATTTGTAGACAGTCTGTCTTACCGTGGACACATGAACATCAAGGCTTTTGGAGATACTTTTGTAACCCTTTCCAGCTTCATGCAAGTCAACAATTCTTGATCGTAGGTCTTCTGAGAGCTCTGTTCTGTGAGGCATGGTTCACATCAGACAGTGCTTCTTGAAACCAGTAAACCCAAAACAGGTGTGTGTTTTTTTAAGGGCAGGACAGCTGTCAGCAACACATCCAATATCATCACACTGATTGGAGTCAAGGTTGGCTCACTCCTGGCTCCAATTAGCTCTGGGAGAAGTCATTAAGCTAGGGCCTCACATACTTTTTCCTCCCTGCACTGAGAATGTTTACATGTTATGTGCAATTAAACCATGGCAACATCTAATGTTTGTGTAGTATTATGTTCAGAAGACTGTGTTCTTCTATTGTTGTGACTTAGATGACGTTCAGAGCACATTTTATGCCCAATTCATGCAAAACTCCACGTAATCCCAAGGGGTTCACATACTTTTTCTTGCAACTGTATCCTTCTTCAAGGAACCCCGAATGCTGGGGTGGCCTGAGTTACCAAATTTTTTTTGTATATTTTTGTTTTGTCTTTTTTGTGACTTTAACTTGTTTACCTGTTTTGGAAAACATCTGTAAATCTTTAATAAATGCAGAATACAAAAAAAAGTGCTAATGGTAGTCATTCATGATAGAAGATGCAAAAATACTTAAAGTGTTACTAAACCCAGGACCCTGCCTTCACTATATATGGTCTCCCACAGCATACATAACATGGAAATGCAATTTTTTCAGTAAATATAAACTGCTAAATACCTTTTCTCATCAGCAGTATATAGCAGTCTTGTGACTTCTATCAGTGTCCAGCTGAGCATTGGATAATCTTGTAAGAGGGGTATTCATTCTCCTCTGACTGTCCTATGAAGCTGTATGACCCCTGACCCTCTGTTTGGACAGTGCTGATTGGCCCTGTGCCGATCACATGCACCCCCCCCAAAAGAAAAACCTCTAGCAATACACACCAAACTGAGCAAAATGTGCAGAGTGTCTCCTAGGGCACTGTACTATCAGCAAATGGATTGTGGACTATGGAAGAATGGGAAGACAGGATTAAACAGCCTTTTTACATAATGTAGAGGATTAACTTTAGGTTCCACAGTGAGTATAACAAGCATGCTTAACTGCATAAATAGACTGATTTTACTGTTGTGCATTTAGTACCTCTTTAATATCGTTGATCATTGGTGGCTTGTATTACATAATATAAACCTGAACATTATTTTTTTTGAGTGTATAACTGGGTGTGTAAAAGATTTCCACTTTCTTGTATCTCCCTTCATATTGGGCGAACACCAAAATGCACATGCTTGACTGCCAAGTTGGAGCCAGGGTTATACAGCACAACTAAGGGGTTTGGGTTGCTAACTGATCAGGACTGGAGGAAGTAAAAGATCACATTTGACCTAAGCAGGTGTTGTAGGGTATGTACAGTAGATCTGGCTATAGCAGGCTCAAATTTTGGGACACCTTGCAGGTACCATGATATACATGCTATGGTAGTCCAGGTCTAGCAACTAGTGATGGGCCGAACACCCCCTTGTTTAGTTCACAGCCAAACATTCAAACCTACCAAATATTTGACCGCGAACTTCGAACAGGGACAGTGCACTAAGCGGTATCTTACTGCATCTCAGTATGCTGTAAGCTACTGCACAGCTACTAAAATATTGCATTATATTATTAAGTCAAGCGGTATTTTAGTAGTGAAGACATGTTATAGTATTTCAGCTGTCAGCGGGATTCCCCACTGACAGCTGAATGCAAAAGGAATCGCCAACATTTCCCGGCAATTAAAAAATGTTTTTAACCACTAGCCTACAGAGCACTTATACCCCCTTCCTGCCCAGGCCAATTTCCAGCTTTCAGCGCTGTTGCACTTTGAATGACAATTGCGCAGTCATGCAACACTGTACCCATATGAAATTTTTATCATTTTTTTTGAGACAGATAGAGCTTTCTTTTGGTGGTATTTAATCACCTCTGGGTTTTTTATTTTTTCTTAAACAAACCAAAAACCACTGAAAATGTGAAAAAAAATTTTTTTTTTCTTAGTTTTTGTTATAAAATTTTGTAAATAAGTGATTTTTCTCCTTCACTGATGTGCGCTAATGAGGCTGCAGTGATGGGCACTGATAGGCTGCACTGATGGACACTGATAGGTGGCACTGATGGGCACTGATGAGGAGGCACTGGTAGGTGGTACTGATGGGCATTGACAGGCATCACTGATGGGCACTGGAAGGCAGCACTCATATATGGCACTGATAGGTGGCACTGATAGGCGGCACTGACTTACACTGACTGGCACTGTTAGTTGGCACTGACTGGCACTGTTAGGCGGCACTAATAGGCAGCGCTGACAGGCACTGATAGGCGGCACTGATGCACACTGATAGGCGGCACTGACTGGCACTGATATGTGGCACTGATTGGCAGCACTGATAGGTGGCACTGACTGGCATTGATAGGTGGCACTGACTGGCACTGATGGGTGACACTGAAAGGCAGCTCAGATGGGCACTGATATGTGGCATTGATGTGGCACTGATGGGCACTGAAATGTGGCATTGATGTGGCACTGATGGGCACTGAAATGTGACACTGATGTGGCACTGATGGACACTGACAGGTGGTGCTGCTGGGGCTGCACAGATCATGAGGGTTCCCTGATCATCAGTGCTCTGATGATCAGTGCACATGTCCCCTCCGAGGAATGCCGATTACCGGCTCTTCTCTCCTGACGAGCTGTCAGCGTGATAGCTTGTGGGGAGAGAAATGCTGATAACCGGCATTTCCCTGTTTACATGTGATCAGCTGTGATTGGACACAGCTGAACACATGACCGAGCCGACATCTTCGGCTCTTTCCGTGGATCAGTGATCTGCTGTGTCCGAGGGACACAGCACACTGCCGATCGCCGCGCGCTCCGGGGACGGGCCGTGCATGTGCGGTTAGAATGGGAGGACGTCATGTGACGTCCTCCCAGAACGAGAGAACCACCTTGCGTCCATCATATTACTATATGGTGGGCGGGAGGTGGTTAAAAAATGCGTGGGGTCCCCCTCCCCATCCATAACAAGCCCTTCGGGTCTGGTATTGATTTTGAGGGGAATTCCCACGTCAAAATGTTTTTTTAAAAATCGCATGGGGTCCCCCCAAAATCCATACCAGACCCTTATCCAAGCATGCAGCTCTCTGAAAAACATACCAGGCCACATGCCCTCAACATGGGGGGGTGCTTTGTGGCAGGGATGCTCCCCCCCACAGCACCTTGTCCCCATGTTGATAGTGACAAGGGCCTCTTCCTCACAACCGTGGCCAGTAGCTGTGGGGGTCTGCGTGTGGGGGGAATCGGAATCTGCAATCTATAAAGAGGGGGCTTTCAGATCCTGCCCCCCTGAATGAGTATGGGGTGCATGGTACTGCTACCCATTAACAGAAAAAAAACATTTTAAAATGTTCCCCGAAGTAGATCGAACGTCAATCACGGTGCCCACCGACACTGCCAGCCCTAAAAAAGAAAAATGCTCCACTCTCAACGCTGGCTCCCGTCCTGACAGATGCACCTGGATGACAATTCTTACATATTATGTAGTCACAAGGGGGCGGGGTCACACCCGTCCCCTTGTGACATCATCATGCGCTGTGATTGGCCAAAGCATTGCTTTGGTCAGGTGCATTGCTTTGGCCAATCACAATGTACTGTCAGGGCGCAGTGCATTGTGGGGAGTGGTGGGCGAACAGCCCACCGAACACCCTTACCATTTGTGTGTTCGCCGTACACATGAATGGCCCATGTTCGACTTGAATATGAAGCTCAACCCTACTAGCAACACCACTGCTTTCCACAAATTAAGTACTACAACTAATATTTATGCATCCTCTTATTGGTAGCTACAGAAAATCACACGAAGGGTAGAGATGACTGCAAATATTGTTATAGAGCAGCTCTTCAGAAAATACATTTTGCATTTTGAGTTGTGTGGCCGTGTTACAATCAGGGCTGGAGCTAAGACATAGACAACAGCGAAGACCCAACAGGAGACTCATGTCTTATTCCACCCAAAACTTTGTTTTTAGTTGAACCCACTTTTTCAAATACAACATTTTTGGTGAGAAGCATAAAAGGTAAAAAAGGTAAAAAAAAAAAAGAAAAAAAAAATGATGAGAGCTGCAATGCTCTAGTGCACAAGAGAAATAGCCTTGTCTGTAATAACTATCTGGCCTTCAAAATGCCGCATTGTTCTTTGTGGAAACAAGCAGAGTTCACTGCAGTGGACCATGCTCCAGAGTAAAGAATATCGTTTGCCATTAACTCAAATATTCCAAAATCCATAACAGCACATTCTGTATTATAAATAACTGCTGCTGGTAGCATAAGAGACATCTCAGAGAAAGTTTATGGTAGGTAGGCTGTGAATTGACAGAGTCTAAACATCTTATAGCCACATCTTAAGGGTGATATGTACTGGTTTTGAGAAAAATGTTCTTTCTAAAAAAATTATCACTAAGACTAAAATATAAACCTTTACAAATGTTAGAGATTCTGTATATAGTTCACATGTCTTTATCTGCTGCTTCTCTGCTAACAGGAACTTTATTAAAGAGAAAAGACATAGAGTTTAACCATATATGCATCTACAAACTCATAAAATGTGCCATCTACTGGTTGAAGAATAAATCTCTACTGAATAGGTAGTTGTTGCACAAAATACAAGAACACTGTATGCCAACACCGCCACTCAACAAGTACTGCTTATATTAGTCCCATTTCAGATCTAAGTTCTATAAATCTGTTTCTTGTAAGCAGTTTTGTCAAAAGGCTGTGATCCACTTTTGCTTCTCATGGGTTGGAAGGCTTTGCATCTCATCCCATGAATCTGGCTCTGGTTTTAATGCTACTTGAGCAACACAGGACAGATGTTTGGCTGGGATGTCTTTATTGCTTCTGATAGATTTCCTGATTGAAGCCTTTTGTGGCCTGTTTTCTTCTTTTACATTAGGATTGTCTGCATTAATTTCTATTTCTATGTCACTTTGTTGCTTATTTTCATGTGACACTGATGTGGAATTTCCCTCAGTTTGAAGCATTTGTTTTCGTTCATGAAATTTTGAATACACTGAAGTTTTATCAACAATTACACTTCTAATGATGGTTACCTTGTTTGTGTCTTGGTGTAGAATTCTTTATCCCTTTTGATATCCACTGTACACCTTTCTTTGCGCAAGCATCCCATTTTGTACATTTTTATTTTGGAATGTGCACATAGGCTTTGCTTCCAAAAATTTTTAGATGTTTAAAATTTGGAGCTTTTAATTTCCATAGTTCATATGGTGTTTTGATTTTCCTGGTAGTCGATTCTGGAGATAGCATATGGTCATATTTCCCCCCCCCCCCCAATATGTGGTTAGCATATCTGCATCAAACAGCATGGTTCTTCCACTCTCACACAAGGTATGGTTCAGTATTCCTGCAACCCTGTTTTGTTCAGGATTGTGTGGTACAGTAGTTTACAATATTATGCCATGCTTTCTGAGAATCGTCTGTGCATTATCACGTGTATATCCAGTTCCATTGTCTGTGTGCAATACACTCTGCATTTTGCCAAATGTGTTGCTTACTTGAGCCAAATATTGTTCAGGTTTCTCTGGTACTTCACTTTTGTTATGTAACAGATATAGTGTAGTATACCTGCAGTATTCATCTATAAAAGTGATCAAATACCTGTTCTTTCTTGGAGTCAATTTTTTCATTGGACAGAAAAGATCTGAATGAATTAAGTCCAGAGGTCTTTTAGCTCTGATGTTACTATGCTTTGGAAAGGGTTTTCTTGTAATTTTTCATTTTATACAGCTGGTACATTTTATTGTTAATCACATGGACTAATTTGTATTCCACTTGTCATTCTCACTTAATATCTTTATTATGTCAGGATTTGTGTGCCCAAGTCATCTGTGCCATATGCGAATGCGGTTTGAATGGTTTTCCTCCGCAGTATTAATTACCTCATTGCAGTTCAGCTGATATAGTTACCGTATTTTCCGGCGTATAAGACGACTTTTTACCCCTTGAAAATCCTCTCAAAAGTCGGGGTTCATCTTATACGCCGTTATATACGGCATACTGACACTTTTTAGGGGGGCGGCGCAGTTCCGCCGCCGCCGCCCCCCCCCTTCCAACGGAAGGGACACTAAGTACAGGGGTGGGCAGGGGCTGCTGTTTCTTACCTGGCTCCGGTCCCACGACGATCTGGTCCAGGAAGCACGGCTGCTCCTTCAGTTCGGCCACTGGATGTTCGCGTGGCTGCTCGGCTCCGCCTCCTCACCGGTGATTGGCCGCCAGAACTGTAGCTCAGGAAAGGCACTCAGGCGGCCAATCACCGGCGAGGGGGCGGAGCCGAGCGCCCCCCCCGCGAAAATTGAGTGAAGGAGCGGCCGGTAAGTGTGTAGTGTAGAGGTGCTGCTGCAACCACATATGCTGGCTGCAGCAGCACCATACTAGAACATCGGTCAGCAAGTGTAATTGGTGTCAGTGGGAGGAATAGTGCCCCATCATTGGTGTCACTGATACTAATGATGGGGCATTATTCCTCCCACTGACACCAACGATGGGGCACTATTCCTCCCCCCCACTGACACCAACGATGGGGCACTATTCCTCCCCCCCCACTGACACCAACAATGGGGCACTATTCCTCCCCACCCCCCACTGACACCAATGATGGGGCACTATTCCACCCCCCCACTGACACCAATGATGAGGCACTATTCCACCCCCCACTGATACCAATGATGGGACACTATTCCTCCCACTGACACCAATGTTGGGCACTATTCCTCCCACTGACACCAATGATGGGGGCACTATTCCCCCCACTGATACTAATGATGGGGTACTATTCCTGCCACTGACACCAATGATGGGGCACTGTTCCCCCCACTGATACTAATGATGGGGCACTGTTCCTGCCACTGATACCAATGATGGGGCACGATTCCCCCCACTGACACCAAAGATGGGGCACTATTTCTCCCACTGATACTAATGATGGGGCACGATTCCCCCCACTGACACCAAAGATGGGGCACTATTCCTCCCACTGATACTAATGATAGGGCACTATTCCTGCCACTGATACCAATGATGGGGCACGATTCCTCTCACTGACACCAATGATGGGGTGCTATTCCTCCCACTGACACCAATGATGGGGCACGATTCGTCGCTCTGACACCAATGATGGGGCACTATTCCTCCTACTAATACCAATGATGGGGCACTATTCCTTCCACTAATACCAATGATGGGTACTATTCCTTCCACTAATACAATGATGGGGCACTATTCCTCCCACTGACACCAATGATGGGGCACTATTCCTCCCACTTATACCAATGATGGGGCACTATTCCTCCCACTGACACCGATGATGGGGCACTATTCCTCCCACTGGTGTGCATTGGAAGAGGAGTAGTCTTATACGGCGACTATAGCCCAAACACTACATTTTAGCAGGAAAAGTAGGGGGTCGTCTTATACGCCGAAAATACGGTAATCTGTAATTTTAGCCTTTGCCACTAAGATATCCCCATTTGTGATGACACAACTGTCATCTTAGAAAGACACTACAT